GCAAGACGCTTGGCGATGTCGGCAACTTCAACTCCGGCGGTCTCCTTGAAGGGACGAACATCAAGGATGAACTCGTGGGCGCAGCGGCCATTAGCGTTGGTGTAGACGACCTTGTAGTGGGGGAGGAGACGGGACATGATGTAGTTGGCGTTAAGGAGGGCGGTGCCAGTTTGTTTGGTGAGACCATCTCCGCCCATCATGAGGATGTAGGTGTGGCTGATGGGGAGAATGGAGGCGCTACCCCAAGGAGCAGCGCTGATGGGAGCAACGGCTGTGCTATCACGTTCGGCGCCGATGCGCTGAGGGTCAATCTCAGGGTGACCAGGGAGGTAAGGAGCAAGGTGCTTCTTAACAGCGATAGGGCCAACACCAGGACCGCCGCCGCCGTGGGGAATACAGAAGGTCTTGTGGAGGTTGAGATGGCAGACATCAGCACCAATGTCACCGGGGCTGCAGAGACCAATCTGAGCGTTCATGTTGGCACCGTCCATGTAGACAAGACCGCCATGCTCGTGGACAAGATCACAGACTTGCTTGATCTCAGGCTCGAAGACACCGAAAGTAGAGGGATAAGTAACCATGATAGCAGCAAGCTCATCAGCGTGCTTGGCACACTTGGCCTTGAGATCCTCGATATCCAGGTTACCAGTCTTGCCGTCACACTTGACAGTAACAACCTTCATGCCAGCCATGGCAGCAGAAGCAGGGTTGGTACCGTGAGCAGAAACTGGGATAAGGCAGACCTTTCGCTTATCTCCATCACGAGCCTCGTGGTAAGCCTTGATACAGCGAAGACCAGCAAACTCACCCTGAGCACCAGAGTTGGGCTGAAGAGTGGTAGCGTCCATACCGGTGATCTCAGACAAATTCTTGGCGAGGGAGCTGATGAGAGCTTGGTAACCAGAAGCTTGCTCAACGGGGGCGAAGGGGTGGATGTTGTTGATACCGGGATCAGAAACAGGAAGCATCTCGGTTGTGGCGTTGAGCTTCATTGTGCAGGAACCAAGAGGAATCATGGAGTGAACGAGGGAGACATCCTTGGACTGGAGATGGTAGATGTATCGAAGGAGCTCGGTCTCAGTGTGGTACTGGTTGAAGACAGGCTGCTCGAGGTAGCCAGTCTTTCGCTGGAGAGAAGCGGGGATTTGGTCATTGAGGAAGGTAGCCTTATCAGACTCGAGAGCAGACTTGAACTCAGCCTCAGAAACGCCGAAGGCCTTGACGAGATTACCGAGACTCTCAAGGGTGACGCCCTCATGAAGAGAGAAGCCAACCTTGTCCTCGGCAACACGGCGAAGGTTAATGTTCTGAGACTCAGCGTTCTTGTGAACCTTGGCAATAGCCTCAGGAGATCCCTTGAGAGTGACAGTGTCGAAAAGAACAGCACCATCCTCACGGAGACCCTCAGTGTGAAGCTTGAATTCGCCCTTCTCGAGGATCAAGTTCTGGGCAAGACGGGTCTTGCTCCAGATGTCTTCAGCAATGGTCTTCAGACCCTTAGGACCGTGGTAAACAGCGTAGAAAGCAGACATGTTGGCAAGCAGAGCCTGAGCAGTGCAGATATTGCTGGTAGCCTTCTCACGACGAATGTGCTGCTCACGAGTCTGGAGAGCCAGACGAAGAGCAGGCTTGCCGAGACGGTCCTTGGAAACACCAACGAGACGGCCAGGAATCTTGCGCTTGTACTTCTCAGATGTAGCGAAGAAAGCAGCGTGGGGACCACCGTAGCCCAGAGGAACACCGAAGCGCTGGGAGTTACCGATGGCGATGTCGGCGCCAAACTCTCCAGGAGGCTTGAGCATGGTAAGAGCGAGAAGATCGGTGGACGCGCTGAGAAGAGCCTTCTTCTCATGGACAATGTCAGCGAGAGCTTGGTAGTCATGAACACCACCGTGGGTATCGGGGTACTGAATCAAGGTTCCAATAAGATCGCCTTCAACTTCGCGAACGAGCTTGGAGTTGTCGGCGAGGACATCGCCAATGACGAGCTTAATGCCGAACCCCTCAGCTCGGGACTGGAGGACGGCGATGGTCTGGGGGTGGCAGTCCTTGGAGACGACAAAGACCTTCTGGCCCTTGCCCTTGGGGGCGTTAGCCATAGACATGGTCATGGCCTCAGCAGCGGCGGTGGCTTCGTCGAGAACAGAGGCATTGGCGATATCGAGACCAGTCAAATCGGTGATAAGAGTCTGGAAGTTGAGGAGAGACTGAAGACGGCCCTGGCTGATCTCAGCTTGGTAGGGGGTGTAGCTGGTATACCAGGCAGGGTTCTCGAGAACATTGCGCTGGATAACAGCAGGGACAAGAGTTCCATAGTAGCCAGCACCAATGAAGGACTCGTAGACCTTGTTGTTCTTGGCAAGCTTTCGCATTTCCTGCTGGATGTAGTGCTCAGTGCGACCATTGGGAGGAACAGCAGCTTCCTCGCCACCCTCATACCACTGTTCAACGAGGTTGAGACCCTTCTGTTTCCTCCGGACCTGCGGGGGAATAGTCTGCTCAAGAAACTCCTCCATGGAGTTCACGGGAGGGTCCAGGACCTTGAGCATTTCTGCCTGTTCGCTGGACTCGCTGCCAATGTGCCTCCTTGAGAAGAGCTCATGATCTTGCAGCTTAATGCTGCTCTGTAAGTCGACAAAGCGAGGGGCATTGACTTGGGCTGTGACTGAGAATGCCCGGGATACGCCATTGGGACGAATCGATTGTGTGAGACGAAAGGTGGTGATGGGGGAACGACGAGACTGACGGACGAGCCGTTGCCCGATACGGGTGGCAGACATCATGATGCGATGATGATTGCCTTTGTTCAACACAATTCAGTTCTGAATTATGAAGAAATCCAAGAAAAGGAAAGGAAGTGGGAAGAGGGAAAAGGAAATGATTATGAGTATGGAGTGTTATCAAAAAAACACAGCCCGCATCCAAAGATTTTAAGGTACGGCCGGGCATGAGCATGAGAGAGCAGCGGCAGGAGCAACAGTGGCGTCGGCCGTCATGGTCCGATCATGTCGCCGGTGGGAGGAAAGAAAACTCGGAACCTCGATCCTAAGTGAGAAAAAGAATTAGGTAACTTAGTGTAAATTTATGATGAGTTTAGGATAACTTTTGAGGAGTTTATTTTGTCATCCTAAACTTAGGTGTGATGTTTTGTTGCTCCCTGGGGCCTTTCTCCAAACCGGCGGCCGGAAAAGGTACATGAGGGTACATCTGGATCTGAACCTTTCCAGAAGACATTTCATGTGACTCGGTGAAAGTGCCAGCGCGGCAGCTAAAGCGCGATAAACCCTGTGATTCGCTGGCTTTGACTCAGTGAAACCAAGTGACTCGGTGAAAGATAAGTACTGTACCCTCCAAGGACCCCTATCGCGCCCAAATTCACCGAGTCAACGGGTAATTCTTCACTGAGTCAAATGCACCACCGCTTGGAACCTACAAATCAGGTGGTCGGCAAATGAGCCGCGGGAGTCTTATCGCTTAGCTTTTAGGCCATGCTGGGGTTGGTTCCACTGCGTTCTGCCCTGCAAATGCTTCCTCGGCGTTGAACCGAAACCTGGGGGCCGAGCTCGGGAGGTCTGGCCGTTTCCTTTGTTCGTCAGTTGATTTGACGTTTATCACACGAATTGACTAGTACGCCTTCTAGAAATGCTCTTTGCAGCTTGTCCTGGTGACACTTTTACGTAGTAGATAGGCTGCACGGATTTCCGGTGTAGAAGCCGGGGTTGCAATACCGTGATAGAGTAGAGTGGATGCTCCACTGGCCAGGGCTGCCAGAGAACCTTAGCCAAACTCCGATGTACTGGCATAGGGTAGCTGCATTTGGACCAACGACGGAAAACCTTTTAACGTTATTACGAGGTCTGGTCTATCAGGCAAGACGAATGAGGAGTGATAAGCCTCAGGGAGCCGGAAATCATCAGATTTCTACATAGAATATTAAATTTAACAAATGGTACCTTAAACTTAGTAAAGATATCCTAAAATTGTATCGATTGACCTCAATCCTCTTATCATTTAGGACCAAGATCCTAACTAAGTTTTCATTCCTCCTTCGATGAGCAAACAGTTGCTGAATCTCCTATCAGTTTTGGGTACTCTAGTCAATACAAGGATGTTTCCTATGATGCCAAGTCATATCGTGATACAAACTGATCCCTTACACAATACATTCATAGGATAAAGCACGGTTTTAGGACTCTTCACTTGAAGAATGGAATATGCCGAGTATTTTTTGAGGGATGCTGCATCGAATTTGAAAGGATTTTATAATCACCAACACCTCAAGTAAGTAACAGTTTGTCCTGTCCGATCTATAGGTGCTCTATGGAAATCAAATGTTATGATAATCCGAGCCAAGTCCGTAGAAGAAGAACAAAGAAAACGAGAACAAGACACGAAAGAACCCATCAATCATTGTGTTGGACAATAACGAAAAAGAAAAATAAGCTCATGTCTGACAAAGAATCCAACATGTTCATCTTTTCAGAGTACGTGTTGTGAACAGCTGTCGCCCCACGACTACCATAACAACGACGTTTAAGACCAAGGAGCCTAGGCACTCTGCGCTCACAGACTCCAAATCTTTAATGTTAAATCGAATTACCTTCATCATGATAACTGAGACAATTCAGACAGGGCCACCTACTGGGGTGCCGTTTTGCGAAAGACACTTTCGATCATTTATATTCAACTACATCACACGGCAGATCGAAATCAAGCAGTTGTCATCAACAAGAGCTATACAGTCGGGCCCAACTCGAGTACAACCACGGAGAGTCGCAAAAGATAAGAATCCCCTTGGAAACATCACGAAGAAGCGTGAATCAGACGAGGATTTGTCAAAATCGACAACAAAGAAACGCAAAGCTAACTATACGGCCCAGATCTCCAAGAGGTGGAATGAATTTATCACATTGGTGCAGCAGCAGGTGAGGGAGAGGAGAGATGCTACAGAAGACGAAGAGTTCAGCTGCCCCTTTGGATCTACTCCTTGGTCATGCAAAATGTGCATAGCTGAGACAAGCGAATCAACTGAAGAAAACCTGCTGTTTATGGGGGAGCCCACGGCGCCTTGGGCTGATATGACACCTGCCAGTTGTTCTACAAGGCTCAGCATATGGAAGAACTTTGGGATGGCAGAGTTTCAGATGTCTCAGTGTGAAGGTTTGTCATATGTTATCGATACATGCCGACAACCAATGTTTATGATGCTGTGAGCTTTTGCTTACTGCGACACAGAACCAGAAAACTACCAGAAGATCAAAACTTTACGCACTTGACAACTAAGACACGATGGAAACACGAAGTATGCAAGCGCATAAGCGATGATCAATTGACGGTGTTCATCTTATTGTCTGAACTAGCCCTATAGAAAAGCTTGTGGCATGATTGCACCCGGCATTCTACAAATAAAACGGTTGAACTGTCATAGGCCAAGATTGCGAGCGTGAGAACAGAAGTAATGACCAAGGCTTGAATGCTAAGAAGACTCTCTTCGGATTTTCCTCTAGATTTATTGAGTCAGGCGTGCTACCAGTCGAAGGATTCGAATGAGATTAGCTGCATGTTTACGTATCTACCACGTATACCAAAACCAGACACCGAGGCCGCCAATCGTGAGGACGATTGCAAATCCAATCCATAACTTTACGAATATGGCTTTTTGCTCCTCAGAGAGAAAATCGAGAGGGCCACAGAACATGGTTGCGGTTGCGGTTGCGGCCGTGGATGTTGTTTTAATTGTTGTACAGAATTGATGGGTAGTGGTGGCACTTGCTGACTTGGGCAATAGTGAAGGAAAGAATTCAAAGTCTTAGAAGCAAGAGAGTGATAAATCGGAAGAAGAGCGGTATAAATATGCCGGAATAAACCTTGTATACTTTGTGTGTCCCTTTGTAAAGAAGATCCCTGACTTTTAAATTGGGAGACTTATCTTTGTTCTAGGTAGATTGATATGTGATTTGCTACCGAAAAGACACCAAGAATATAAGTTTAGGCATAAAATCACAGCCGATCCATATGAGTGCCAGAAAAACTCTGCAAAGGCCGTAAAGCCGACTCTACTGCCCAAATTGATCATGCTTCAAATGGAGTGGTTAATGACAGGCAGTTCTTGATTAAACCATTGAACCGACAACTGGCTGGAAGCATTAAAGGGTCGAATAAGGTAACAAAAAACCTAACTTGACGTGACTCGCTTCAGAAACACTGTATATACCTCGAAGCAAAGAAAGTTAGTCGTAACAGGCAGTAGAGGGACTGTTCACATCCAATTGCTACTGGTTGATAGATTGATACTCAAAGCTTATGACATCTCAACGAGATATATCGAGCTAACACACTAAGAATTGCAATTAATTTTAGCTTTCAGAAGGCAATATGCAATATTGCTGACAGTAGCTTGACGTGAACATCGAGATGGAAAGGCAGAGAAGTCGCCAATATTTCTTTCGCCGATACTTCTTCTCGTTAAACTCAGGGATAGGTGTAATAACTCTAACAGGCCTCAACACTCGAGGTGCTGCTGTCCGCCCCATTCCGTCGATTAACCCAAGTGCAAAGCACATTACTGCTAAGCGTTCTATTCTTAGAAAAATCTCTTCCTGTCTAGTTTGTCGGTACACATCTTCTTGTTCAGCTAGCCGAGAGTGATGCGTGGCTAGAAGTGGAACAATAAACTCCGTTTCTTTGTTTATTACTTAGAGCATGAGAACGTCACATTACCTTACCAAGATAACGAGCTAAGGCAAAGAATGAAAGATGGAGCCACGTGAAGTATACATAGAAGCTAATGAAGTGCCGGGGTTGGTCGTGTTAGTGGCAAAGATGAGTTGTTATTGCGATCCAATCAGAAGATGCAGCCATGATGGGTGATGTTAGTGGCGACGAACCTTAAAGCTTGGCCTCGGGATTTCTTACAGTAATTGCTTGTTGTTCAATGTGAGATAAGCTGGATCATTTGGCCTTTTTTGCCAATACTAGATAAGATTAATTAATCTTTTCTCAGAGTAATAATAAAAACGGAATGTTATTGAGAACTAGTTAGAAATGTCGAGAGCATTCGAGATTGCCCAGTACAGTAACTACCGCGATACCCTGTCATCAAATCTCGAACCATCGTGGATCATCACGCGGAGGCTAAAAAGCTGGGCCAAGTCAAGGAACCGCCAAAATCACTCACATCACCCCCACAAAGCCAACTCAGATCGCCAACCAGAAGTGAAATCCCACGTCAGGACCCCTCATTAAACAGGGACAAGGAGGGGTCTTTTGAGATAAACGCACAAAGGCCGCATCCCACCTGCTGAGTATATAAGACCCTGCATGATCCGACCAGATTATCTTTTCTGTCTTTCTTCCATCATCATCTCACAAACAAATCTTCAAAACAAACTCAACACTTTTTCCTCCAACTACCTCAAACCTTACCCACCAAACAAAATCACAATGGCTGGCGACTGTGGCTGCTCTGGTGCCTCTTCTTGCAACTGCGGCTCTAGCTGTAAGTCAACATAACATGACTCTATTCTCCTCTGTTAATCAATACTGATCTGTGCTAGGCTCTTGCTCCGGCTGCGGCAAATAAGTTCTCCCATCTCATTTCAGTCACGAATTATTGAGATACCACCCGCGACCTTTGTCGCAATTCTACGAACGATGCATGGATTCATGAATATTGGTGTTGAGCCCAGTGTGCTCGGGGAGACGGCGGTTGGAGTTATAGTTTCACTGGTTGGCTTGTAGTGCAATTCTGAAATACACTTCTTCATCACCATGATATTTGCTTTGTGCTCTGACGGTCCGCGTTCTGTCTTCTCATTCATTAATATGTTGTCGTGTGACGAGCAAATCAGAAATAGTTCTGAACTTGACCTACAAGCTCCCTTCGCGATCTGAAAGTCACTTAGTTACCTAAGTATCATAAACATGCGTCCGCAATCGGCAATGCTAATCTCCTATGGGCTCTGGTCTCCAGTCCTTGGGTACATTCATAAGCCAATCTTCAGTGTCCCATTGCGTATAGTCTTGCCCTCTTGTTTCGTGGACTTGCTGCTTTGATTGACCGCTGATGAGCTGGCTCAAACTCATCTAGCTCAGTGATGTCGGCAATGCCCACAAGGTCGCAAGAAGCATGCATGACGATCTGGCCCTAGCCTCTGGGCCAGACAAGACAAATTTGACTTTTGGTCTCATCGCCACGGGTCGCTTGCCCTGACCAAGCTTCTGCCTTATGTCGAAAAATAATTGGGGAAAAGAATGGGGAGAGAAGGATCGAATGAACCGCAGCTCAAGAGAGCGAAGACTGGGCAGTGAAGCTAGGAGAGTTAATAAGTCATTCATATCCATCTTGGAGCCATGGCGAGGGGAAGCGTTCTCGGGCATAAACAAATACACAGATATCTGCTTCGGATAAGTGTACCTGACGCTCTTGGTCTGCAAGGTTGTAAAAGTGAGCGTAGGAATCTTCTGGGGGTCATGGCTGCTGCCAACGGGCGCCTGGGCTCATTATGATCCCGACATTTCAGTCCACTGCTGTAAATACCTAAGCCGACTAATATTACATAAAATTGTAATAGAACCATCTCAGGCACGGCTCGGAAAAGTTCATAACACGATCCTGAACTCTTACCACGCTGTTGTTCTTTGTTCATTATACGCCTGAACTTTTGAGTTTTCACGGATTTGTGATCTGAGATCATGAACACCATGATGAGATGATATGTCTGACAGTTAGGCAGCGCTACACGGCACTGAAGTGACTATTAGACCAGTTGCCATGTTACTGGGTATGTATATTGACATGGACTTTCTGTAAGCGACATCAGAATACATACGGAATATTGAAACACTTTGTCAGAATAAATCAGGAATAGTCTTGAGAATGGACCATGTTAATTTTTTGGAGATGATGGAGCCGACAACATGGGAAACGCCTCTTGGCATGCAAGTGAGATGGCAGGTGACTTGCTGTGATGTGCATGTTATGCTGTGGTACAATCTCACATGGAAGCCACTAAGATTCTTTAAATTATCATTAATGGGATGAAGCCTAGATGAGAGCCAAAATCGAATTCATACTAGCTTCCGAAGATGCCATATTCCAGCCAGCGCAAGCCCGTGACCTCTGATAGACCCTCAGACCATGCAGACTCCACTGCTGATCATTGGAAGCAAGGCCTTTGTCCATTCCCGGCAACTGATTCATGTGCTTGTTTGGTGGTGGCCGAGAAAGCATGTGATAACTAAGCTAGAACCAAGCCGAGAGAGAAAGTAAGAAAAGGCCATGATGACTGCGCCTACCAAGGAAGCTCACGTGGATCTTTTCATGTCCCTTTGTCCCTCTTACATATTTCTGTCTTTGTATTTGTATTTTATTGCTTTATTGATTTGCTTCGGAGACGACATCGCCCAATCCAGTCGTGACATGCCGCTGCTGCACAGCTGACGTCGCGGGGCAAGCAAGGTCAATCTGGGGTAATGTCAATGCTGAATGACGCCCGTATTGAGAAGTGGCTCACAACGTTACAGAACAAGCAAAACTTGGAAGATTACCTAGAGTTGTCAATGGCAGCATTTGTAAGTCCTTATTTCATTGTCTCTTCCTGTTTATCTATCTTGATACCCTTTTCTGTCGCTGTGTTCCCCCTCTACACTCTTAGGCAGCCCTAGGACCTTAGGTAGTCGCTAAAGTGGCGCCCCATGACATAACCGTCTGTGTCCTCTCAGCTTAGATCCAGGGCTTCACTTTAGTGACTTGATCCTCTGACGTCGCGTCGCGGCCGACCACGCGGGCAAGTAGTCACTACGATCAAGATTATACCACAACTCTCGTTTACGCTGTCCATCGACTTTGTCGGCAATGCCCATTAAATCGACTGACTGCTTATTAACGACACAACATTAATAGGATACACCGTGGCTGTCGCATCTTGCACCGGCATCCATGTCTTCCCGTGATGATGCGTCTCACGGCGCATCACCTCCCTCGTACGAACCTCAACCTTCCAACACTGGTGCTCCTTCGACATTTGCATCTTTCTCCCCAGTAACACTCTCCGCCAACACACCATCCCGATCGTCCCGAAGATCAACTATCCTCGTCCATCAAAAGAGCCCCCTGCTCCTCGCTACTCCTCCACAGATCACCCGCGCTCTCGCCTACAGCCACCCCTTCCTCCTCCCATTAAACACATTCGCAGGCCTCCTCACCTGGAGCACCGGAGATCCTTGGCAGAGTTTCTTACTGTTGTGCTTCTTCTGGGCGGTTGTTCTGTATGGC